CTCACCTCTGCAGCCATTTGCAGAAGAATTTTATTATTATTTTCCCATTTGGTACGCCATATTATCATTTCTTTTTCCAGTTTTTTAATTTTCTTTGTCATCAATGAATCAACATAATGATAATTTAAAATTTAAGTTTCATTCTCCAACAATCAAATAAATCACTTTAGAATGTTTTTTCCTTTCCCATTATTGCCCTTGTCTCAAACAGCTAAAATATGTATGTATCTTTCTAATAGTTACTGTTTCTTTTTTGGTGGGAACAGAAACCAAAGTAGAATGTTCATGTTAAAAAAATTTTTTTGACCTTCAATTCTGAGAAAGAAACATAGAAGATGGCATATACCATACTCTAAATTCTCAATTAAGGCAGATGTACATTCCAGTTCATTATAGCTGTGGGAAGCAAAAGTAAAGACCTTCTAATCCCAAACTGTATGGAAAAAAAGTCCACACTCAAGAGTTTTCTATAGAGATATACACTAAATTAATCCATCAGACTCTTAAGAGAGCAAGATTTAGTACGTTAGTAAGTGACCAAGAAAAAGGTACTAGGGAACCAGCAGCTAGCGTAATGGCTATGTCGCTGGACTCCCACGTAGTCGACTGCGGTTCACGTCCCGGACCTGGTGGCTTAAAACTCACACTAGGTTCGTGTGCGTGCATGCCCAAGATCACGAGAGGAGAATGGAGGAGAAGGGGAGAATGGAGTAGAAGGGATTGCGGCATGACCATCCCCCCTGGGGGTGATTTCTCGCTGTCTGTCTCTACGTCTCTCTCTGTCTGGTGAGTGCACGCGCCCTATAGCAAAAACCCTCTCCAAAAAAAAATAAAAAGAAAAAAAGAAAAGAAAAAGGTACTAAAATAAATGAATAATGAGTTTTATACATCCTCTCAACTTACAAACACTATTTTACATTAGATTTTACTGAAGTTAAAATGGGCCCCAAAATAAGGAGAATCTATGCTATAAGAATTCAATTCTCAGAGACTCATACATTTACTATTCTCTTAATCTATTCTAAAAGTGGGTAATAAGCCAGGTATGTTAAGAAAAATAAGACTGAGTAAACTGCTTGTCCTTTGGTTATTATGCAAAAAAACTTAACTGTGCTACTAAGCTAACTGGAGGGAATAAACCCCATCTGGAAGATCTAACTATAGATCTATGTTAGTGATCTCTATAGACCTATGAGTGATCTCTAGCCACCAGCAAAAAGAACACAATCTAGTCCAGGATTCTCCGAAATGGAGAATTTGGAATCCTTGTCCTATACTCTGTTCTGATTAAATGACCATGTTCTACAACTTTGCAAACACTCACTGTGCCTAACAGTTTTTCCTCCATTGAAGACTTAACTAAAATAAATCACAAGAATAATTTATCTGCTACTTGATGAAGTCTCTATTATTTCTGGGTCTTAAAAAAATGATCTGTAGTGTTTATTTCAGCATTAAAATGGGCAAATACCATCTGAAATGCCCAAGGTGGCAATTTGATCATTAAATATGGCCAAGCACTTTAAAAATACAATTATATTTTGCTATTCTAATTTTTAACAATGAAGGAACTAAAAGAGGTTAAAAAATATCTGCATGGTCACACACTGCATAACAAAGGAGTTTATCAGAAAATAAACTAAAATTAAACAACTTCATAGGATCTAATAATTATGAAAAATGTCTATTAAATGAATTTCCCAACTCTAGTGCAATATCCATACTACACCATTTTTAAAATTTCAACTCATCAGTCACATAGCCTATGATTAAGAAAGCTGGATCTCTAATCCTCTGCCTCCTACTGTGATACCTGCTCCCTCCTATACTGTCTGTCCTATACTGGTACTTTCTGCTACTGTACCTTTCATCTTTCAGTTCCTATCATAGAGTCAGGCTTTTGGTATATATTGAATGTACACATCCGATGCCTGTCCTTCAGACTGGATTGCTTTGCTCAGCTTTAAACACTTAATAGACACATGAATGAAATTATTATCTGCTGATGATAAATGTAAATGGAGAGGCTTTTGCTATAGGGCGTATGTGCTCACCAGACAGACAGAGACAGACAGAAAGTGAGAAATCACCCCCTAGGGGGTATGGCCACACTGCATTCCCTTCTCCTCCATTCTCTTCTCAGGATCTTGGGCACGCATGCCCATGTGCCTGGCGTTGAGTTTAAACCACCGGGTCTGGGATTCGAACCGTGGTCAACTACGTGGAAGTCTAGCGACATAGCCATTATGCTGTTGGTCTCATGGCATTACCTTTGACTTGATTGATAAAAACTACATTCTGATGAAAAAAATTCTGTACACACCAAAGACATACAGTAATTAGGTGTAAACTTAAAAAGTGCAAAAAAAAGGTTTTCCTAAACATTGGAAAAATAAACAAATTGCTACCAAAAAAGGAAGGAAAGAAAAAAGAAAGATGGATCCCAGTAGTTCAAATACCAGCCCTGGCAACTTGATAAGCACTCTGGGTACTTAACATGATGAAAATATGCACAGGGTAGAGAAATGGAGGTGCAGGTTTTGTGCTATGACCATGCTCCATTGGCAGTTACATTCTCTATCTCTCTCTGTCTCTGAAAAGTGCACATATCCTTGACATCTAAAATATTCCCAACTTGAAAAAAATAATGCCATGCTAAATAATTTTCCTAATGAAGTCACATAGTACAAGGAACAGATTTCAGTTCCAGAGGCCATGCTCCAAACCACAGATGCTGTTTCTCTGGTCAAGAGAAAGATCAATGATGCTCATTAAAATTGCTTTTTAGTTTATATTGTGCACTGAAATGGCTTTAACAATTATTCTATACATAACTATAACTGATTTTTTAAGTACTATATTAAAGACACCTCATATATTCATATTTGAGGGCCTCAGAAATGAATCTACTCAAACAAAAATGGTCTCCTTGACCTGGATTTAATAAAAAAGTAGATTACATGAGACTCTGTCAAAGAACTGACAAATATGACTACTATACTGATATGTTTATCAAAAATCTAATAAGATACTCTCTATTAAAAGAAATTTAATTATTACAGAAAATTTAGAGTAGCAAGAACATTAACAACAAATAGTAATTTCAAGGCAAAATGCCTAATTTAGTTACCAGAAATTCAAAAAAGATAATTAGAAAGATCCTACCAGCATAAATTTATCTAAATGTAATGTCTAAAATAACCTCTACTGTAAATTCCTTATATAATACTATACTATAAAATATGTAAATACCTTTTCCATTTCCTCTTTGAAAGTGGTAAACAGTTCATTGCTTTTTGCCATGGTAGTCTGGAATTCTTCAAACTTATCCACATAAAGAGAAAGCTACATAAAAAACAATAAAATATGCTGAGTTCCCAAAATGCAAATTAAAATGCCAGACTTTTAAAAGAACCAAACATGATTAATATTAGTTACGTATCTTTCACTGCTGGCCCTGCAGGCCCTGTGTGGGTCCCAAAGCCACTGCAGAAGAAACAGGGTCATGGATTCTCTTCCAAATACTCCTGCAAAGACCTGAGCAATTTTCAGAGACAGTAAGGCTCTGGGGCTTATTAAATGGGTCTTCCAGAATAGCAAGGCACTCTGAGGGTCCGAGATCCAGAGAAGAAAAAGCAGGGTTGCAGGATGTGTCTGGCATATTCCTGTGAGAACTTGCACAGTTCTCAGATATAGTAAGGCATTAGGCTGGGTTGACTGGGTTGTCCATCACTGGCCAGGCCTCCCAGAGCCAGAGAAGCAAATTCATCAGGTCAAATAGCACACAATAATATACAACCTTACTTAATAACTTAAGATCATCATCCTCAAGTCAGAGCTCAGCCAGTTCAGAAATCGAAATTTTTGGAAATAAGAAAACTGGTGTGTGGTGTGGCATGAAAATATACCACAGAGAAATGCACAAGCAAACAGCCCAAGAAACTTACCCAAATTGGAAGGAAAAACTAAGTGCCTCACCAGATGCATAGAAAACAAAACAACTCCTCAAGAAATAGAAAGAAATCAGGAAGTATCAGGAAGTATATTCTTCTCAAAGGACATAGCAACTCCTCACCAACTATGGAAAAAATCACAATAATCATAGAAGTGACAAAACAATTAAAATATTCAATATTAAAAAAACTCAATGAGATCCAACAGAAAATGGACTATCAACTCCAGGTGGAATCATTCCATGACATGAAGGACAAATCCATGAAGACACAGACAACCTTAAAACCAACAAACCAACCAACAAACAAAAACTTCTGGAAATGAAGAATACAATGTAAGAGATCAAAATATCCCTTAGAACCATCAATAACAGAAGAATCTCTAATCTAGAAAACAATATTCTGATTTAATTCAAAGAAAGTAAAAGAATTTTAATAAAAAAAGAAAATATGATAATAATATATGAAAAATACTAGACGTCCATAAAACTCCAGTATCTGAATGATAGAAATTAAAGAAGGTGATGTGCTGAAAAGGGCTCAAAAAACATCTTGCATAAAATGCTACTGACAATTTTTCCTAATCTAGAGAATCTTAAGGCATACAATTCAGTAAACACAAGGGACACCAAAGATAATCAATATAAGAAAAGTTCTTCTCCATGGCACATCAATCAGATGTATAAAAATCAAAGAAAAAATAAGATTCTAAAAATATAAGAGAGAAGCATAATGTTACATACAAAGACTATCCAATCAGGTTAATGAAGATCTTTCGACTGAAATGATGAAGGTAAGAAAAAATGGGAAGACATGTTCAAAACTCTGAAAGAAAATTTTAGCAAAAATACTATCCCAGCAAGATAAGCCTTAAATGGGAAAAGAAAAGAAAGGTTTTTTTTTTTTTGATAAACAAAAACTGAAAGAACTTATGAAATATAGGCCAGCTCTTCAAGAAACAGAAGAAAGAACGGTATTTAAAAGACAAGAGCAAGACAAATAGAAATAAGAGAACAAAAACAGCCAAGTAAATGGCTAAAAAAATGACAAGTCCATAAATACTGATAATGTGTGTTAATAGGTTATATTCTCCAATACAAAGATACAAATTGGCTGAAAGAGTGTCCATAAATACTGATAATGTGTGTTAATAGTTTATATTCTCCAATAAAAAGATAGAAATTGGCTGAAAGATAAAAAAAAATAAAACAAGCCCTCTATGTTAATCTTTGAGAAATGAACCTCATGTATAAAGGCATACATTGACTGAAATGGAGGAGTGGAAAAGATTATCTCATACAGAAAAAGCTTATCTTTCCAGACTCAATCATGCAACTAAAGACCCTTTGCTCCAAATAGTTCATTCAATACCCTAATACCCTAGACAGATAAGGTAGGCTGTCTTCTCTCTTTACATTTAAAAAAAAAAATTTTAGTATTTTTTCTTGTCTCTGACCTATCCTTTATCTTGCTAATTTCATATTCCATCTATACCTGAACTGTGACCTGCCCATTCTGTGTGTCATGTGCTTTTTTAAAAACTGATTTTCTTTCTTGGTGGTTTTGTCTTTTTTCCCCCTCCTTTATCTTAGTTTTTTCATTTTGTTTCTCAGCTTCTACACACTGAGTGCTTATAGGGGTCTAGGTGAACAGTAGCCGAACATCTGAACACTTTCAGGGTCACTGAAATCCTCAGCTCCCACTGAATAAGATGCACAAATGGAGAAACCCATCTTCATAAATCTGAACTCAAATCTTTTTCTGTGGATATCCATTGTAAAACATGGTAGAGGAAAAAAATTGAACAGATGCACCTCAAGTAAAGGGAAGCATATGCACTTATAGTTGCAGAAAACTTCAACAAATTAGGCAAACTGAATATATCACCAAATGACTAAAAAATCAGGAGACTGAAAATTGAGCAAAAGGGAGAGATACAGAGCTGCAGAGAGATTGTGGTTCATCTCCTGCTGCATGTCTCTGAACACTGAGAATTAACTCAAAGAAATTAGGAAGAAATCTATCACATGAACAGAAACCCATTGCAGAGGCAGAAGCAGTATGAGAATCCAAGAAAATATTCCCCAAGAGAGAAGAACAACCCTTCATCATCCACAGACAGTACAATGGAACCTGTGGAAATGTCAGATAAAGAATTCAGAATGTTCACAGTGATAAAACAGATCGAGATGCAAGAGAAGAGAGACAATAAATTCCTGAAGATGCAAGAGAAAAGAGAAAATATTTGGAAAATTTTCCAATGGCATTTCATGCAAGATATTTTCAGACAAATGAGTTCCAGAAGATGAGGAAGTTCTTCCATGATGTGAAAAAAGAAATACACACAATAAATAAACAGAGTTGCGAGAGATGAAGGCTTTAATAGAAAAAATCAAACTTCTCTCAAAAGTTGATTAGAATACGCAGAAGATTAAATCTCAGATGTAGAATAAATACAAAACCACTGACCTGGAAAAAAAAAATCACTAAAATAACTGAGAAAATAATGCCCTCAAAAATGAGAATAATATACAAGAAATACTAGACCATTAATGCCCAAACATCTGGACAATTGGATTCCTGAAGGTAAAGAAACTAATAAGGGTATTGAAGATAAAGAAAATAAGGCCATTAATAATCTATTCCATGAAATCCTAGAAGGAAACTTGCTAGACACAGAGAGACATCGAAATATCCAGACCCAAGAAATATGAGGGACACCAAATAGAACCAATCTAAGAAGATCTTCTCCAAGGTACATCATAGCCGGACTGGCCAAAACCACAGACAAAAACAAGATAATAAAATTGGCAAGAGAGAAATGTCAAGTTACTTACAAAGGGTATCTCATCAGGTGAACATCGGACCTCTCATCGGAAACAATGCAAGCAAGGAAAGAATGGGAAAATATATTCAAAGTGTTACAAGAAAAACAATTTCAACCAAGAATATTAATACCTAGCAAGATTATCCTTCATTTTGAGAAAAACCTGAAAGAATTTACCAACATCAGACCAGCTCTTCAAGAAGTTCTGAAGGGAATGCTGTTATCAGGAAAACTAAAGACAGATAAACAGAAATAAGAGAAAAAAAACAAAAAAGAAAATGGCCAACTAATGATAGGGTCAAGTCCGGAAACATCAATAACACTTAATGTTAACTTCTAGAACATAACTGTAAATCTGGACTACCATTAACACTGCAAATTCAATAGAACAGAGATTAATTGGATAAGACTGAATTGGTGAAATAGCCTTTATGACTTTTGACTAAAACATTACTGATATTTTTCTATGCTTTGCCTTCCAGATTTAAGGATTTTGGCTTTCTTTTGAGCTGTTGGTAAGTTAAGATATTTTTTTTTTTCCAATACTGAATATAAACATATCTCCCTTCTTGATCTCTATGGATGAAAACATTTGTGAGCTTTCTTACTTTGGTGGCAAATGGCAATTTGCCTAAGTTCAATATCTGTTGCCTTACACCAGAAATTGAAAATACTAGTTATTGCAAGGGTTTGACTATAATGTCATATCTGAAAATATGACCAAAAAGCAAAGGAACTAGGTAGATCTCAAGAAAGTCAACAGAAGCTCTTAGAATGAGTGCCTGGTACTATAAACAGTTATCTTGGCAGGCAGGTAAATAATGCTACTTTCTGACAGGCCCAAAAAACTCTCAAGAATAGGTATTTAAAGGCACAATAAAATAGTGAATTCCAGAGTTGGCTCAGTAGCCATGGAAGGCTTTTTAAAGAGTCTAACCTGAAGTTCCTTTTAAAAGGTTCCAACAAAGCCAACTAAATCAACTAACTATTCTTATAAGGCACTGTGTAAACAATGGGCCAAACTGAGACTAAACTTATTTTTATTTATTTTTTAATTTGGTAAATAATTCATGTCTTGCTTTAGTAAAAGGGGCAATGAAGAGAGAGAAAAATATTTCAGAATAAAATTACAGTACACTTCTTACTAGATTTTAGCTTTGTCCATAACTGTTTTTTTTCAGCTTTTATTATCTACCTAATGTTTGAACAGAACCCTTACCTTTTTTCCAGGCCTTAAGTCTCTGAACATTTTTTGATTTTGATTTATTAGAGCTAAAATTGCTTTTCTTAAAATTAAAAATATACATAAAACACAAACAAAAAATAAAGTTAATAATATATACATATATCCTCAGCCAGTTGCTGCTTTATAGCATGTTTATTATACTCACTGCACTTTATGCATAAAGGCATACATGTATTCACAGGTATATTAATATCAAATGTACTTACTTGTCAAAGTATTTGGGTTAATTAAGATCTTTTGTGAATCAATAAAATGTGAAAACAAAACATAGAAATAAACTGTAAATACCAGGAACTGGGAGGAAGGTGGGAAATGCAGA